ATCTCATCCTATTCAGAACAGTAGGCTACCATTTAGTATTGAGAAAGTACCATAGCTCCAACTTTTGTGAATTTTTGATATGATATAGTACACAACTAAAGCTTTAAAACAAAAAAATTTCATTGCAATCAGAGATCTATAGTTCAATATATAATCAGCCAAACTGTACTAAATAGAAACAGAGAATTCAGCCAAACAGTCAAGTTTATTTATAAACAACGAACAACATTCATAACAAAAAAATTCTGCTATTTTTTAGAATCAAACTTTAACATGTTAGCTTTCAGATACAACTGGTTTCATCCAAAAAGGATATGTATAGCACAAGTTATAACAATTTAAAGTAAGCATATTCAGAACAAAATTTCAAACAGAATAGCCAACTTCAAAGATTCATTGGGAATAGGGGCATGAATGAAAGATCAAAAAAATTTCCAGAATTAATATTGATCATTTTATCTTTCATTTCCAATTAGTTCCTCTCAAAAGTTAATTTTCTATCTCAACTTAAGAACAAAAAAATTCATGTACGTCAAGATTTCAGCATGTAAACTAATGTAATGATCAAGTTGATGTGTAAACAAATTAATGATCAAGTGCCAAATAATTTCAACATAATATCATGCATACATGAAAAAATATTGTTCATCTAAGGTTCACTAAGATCATACCTCAATTTCATGAATTTTTCAATTTGGAATACATAGACAAAGTGAATTAGAAAACCTTGCCTTATTCATCAAGGAATCATCCCACTTTGACTTTCTTACACATTTATCCATTTCTTGAGTGTTGAATCTCTAAGGTACCATTGCTTATGTATTATTTAAAGCTCATTGCCTTACCATTTGTGCTAGAAGACAAGAGATACAAGGGTACCTATAACGTAACTCATTTATCAAATTTTCGGTACCCAATTCTTTTTGGGTCCATGCTGGTTAGGTTTGGGCAGCAATGCATCATGAGAAAACAGTGGGGGTAAAGTTCCCTTAACAACCCAAATTTGCTTGAAACCTTTCATATTTCTTCAATACTTGCAATGGTATGCATTATGATCATTCCTTCTATAATAGTTACATTTAACAAAAAGACTTCTAGCCATATATTGATGATGCACATGTGATGTCTTTTTAACATTAAAATGATGCACCTTATGCTTTACATAACCTAAACCATGAGTAACATGTGTAGGCCTTTGATTTCTAAGTATAACATTCAAGTTTTCTCTAGCACATATAAATTTTTTTAAGTCATCATTTAACTTCTTTATTTTATCCTTAAATTTTTCACATGTAGTGCAAGATGTAGAGGATGATGAATCACCATTAGATCTAGATAAGCATACAAGACAAGTAGCACTAGCATCAATTAACTTTAAAGTTTCATTATCACTTTTCAAATCATCAAGTTGTTTATTTAGAGATGCTACTTGTTATGCTTTCTAACTAGTCTAAGGTTTCTAGCACATTTCATAGCTTCATCATGTATTTCACTAAATGCATTTTTCAATTAATTATAGGAAAGATTACAAGAAGAACAAGTAGAATTTACCTCACTTTATTTTTCTCCTTAGCCATCAAGCAATGGTTGGCTTCCTCCTCACTTTAAGAAGAGCTAGAGCTAGAAGAATCTTCATCTCAAGCCATGTAAGCTTTCCTTCCTTTTTTTCTTGCTTTTGCTTGTCTTTTTGTCACTTTTGCTCTTAGATTGGAGTGTAGGACAATCATTTCTATAATGACCTTGCTTCCCCCATTCGAAACATGTAACTTGAGCACTGGATGAGGTAGAATATCCTTTTAATCTAGCTTGGACAGTACCTTATTTGGCTCTTTGAAGGTTTTTCATTTTGAAGAACTTGCCATACCTTTTGATGAAAAGTGACATTTCATCAAGGTCAATATCCTCCTCATTTGATTCATCAATTTCGAGTTCATTGGAGCTGGTGGACTTGAGAGCTACACTTTTAACCTTCTTCTTGGCTTGATCCCTTAAAGCATGTTCCTACATCTCAAACTCATATTCTTGAAGCTTTCTAAAGAGAGTGGTTATTTGCATTGTGTCAAGATCCTTGGACTCATATATGGCTGAAACTTTAACATCTCACTCCTTGGTCATGCACCTCAAGATTTTGTTGATAAGTTGCCCATCATTGTAATGGATACCTAAAGCATTCAACCTTGTAATGATGTGAGTAAAATATTTTTGCAAGTCATATAAACTCTCATCACAAGCATTTCAAAAGTTTCAAATTTTCTAGTGAGTGCATTTTGTTTTGACCTCTTAACCTCATTAGTGCATTTATCTGTGATCTCTAGCACTTTCTATAATTTTTTAGCGGCCTTACAAGAGAAAATCCTAAAATACTCATATCTTCCTAGAATGAGTTATTAATTAGGTTCTTTGCCTTAGCATTCCATTGGGCTTCCTTAAGCTCTACATCACTAAAATCTTTAACTTTCTTAGGAACTCTTTGATTATTTTCATCAAGAATGGTAGGAAAATCATAACCTTCTTCAATCGTTGTCCACATTCTAAAATCTATAGAGTCTAAGAAGATTTGCATCCTAGATTTCCATTAAGGATAATCTATTCCATTAAAATAAGGTGGCCTATTGGTTGAACTACCCTATTGAGGCAAATCATTGTCAAAACTAGCAATATTATGGATCTTTATCTCTAGGTGATTAAACCTACAGTTAGAGAATCTAAGCTCTGATACCAATTGTAAAGAAAAGATGGCTAAGACAATCACACAACAGTGGGGTTGAATTGCATGTTACTTCTTTTGCAAGAAACAAGGTAAATCAATACCCCTTTTCAAGAAAACAACATAAAATGAAATCAAACAGAATACTATCAATTCTCAATCCTTAAACAAAATAAAAACAACATGTATAACATACAAAAAATGAATTATAGCAGCGGAATCAAAAAGAGAAGGGAAAAGAGAAGAAAACACAGAATTTATCCTGCTTCACCCTCTAACCACTTGAAAGTTCCATCCAGACTGATATCGATCGTTCCACTATCATCAAGCTTTTAACAAGTGCTTGAAAAATCACAATACAAAGGAATTTTACAAGAATCTTGATCAATCTCAACCTATACCCCTATAGGATCGCTCCACTCCACCAAAACGAATTTCAACAGTCCAATTCGTTAAAATAGATTTAGGGTAGCCTCCCCTCGTCCAAAATTACAAAACTAATCGAAAAAAGATTAAGAAACAAAAGAGATATTGAGCTTTTTCTCAAGGATATGTAAATAGAGCCTAAAAGGGTTCAATCTTTGATTTTCTATGATCTAATGTTTTCCCGTGTTAATTGTAACATCCCGGGCGCTGACGAGGACGGGGAGTGATAGCCGGTGCGAAAAGGCATAGACAAGGAGCAGCTCTTGGCAGGCTTCCAACGACGGGGGTACATGAATGAATCGAATCAACACCCGAAAGAGAGGGATTCCAGAGACTGTACTGGTATGGGACGGTACAGTTGAGAATGCTTATAAGAATTAATTGGTACTACCTATACTAACAAGATGCATCTACTTTTCGGTAGCCCAGAACGGAAGAACTCCATAGTTAAGCGTGCTTGACTTGGAGCAATTCTGGGATGAGTGACCTCTTGGGAAGTTTTTCCAGAAAGTGTGCGAGTGAGGAAAAAGCACACTGAAAAGTCTCGTGTTAGTATGTGAGGATAGTCATTGATTCTTGAAGCGGTCAGGCGTTACATAATCCTTAGTTTTGAACCCCTAAGAAGTGTTTATATAGGTACCAAATTGAATTACTAGCTGTTTATAGCCATTGGACTCTAATTATTTGAATTACTTAGAGTTTAAGTCAGTTAAGCCAGGGAGTGATCAATTACTTTTCGTGGGATAATCGATTATTGTTCATCAAGTAATCGGGTTGTCGATTACTTCTTCAACGAACCCAGGTAGTCAATTACTTCAAGAAGGTATTTGATTACTTGAGCATAGATGACAATTTGCTTGCTGATTTTTTGAATTTTAATGCATCTAAGTGCTTTATAGTAACTTTTAAATGATTTCTAACATATGTATGATCATGTCTCACACTTATATAACAATTCTTCATGTGTGTGTGATCTTGTATACTTGATCAATGATATGAATGTCATATAAGAGTCGTTAGATCAAGACAAGATCAACGACTCTCAGTTGATGTGTCAATTTTTTTTTTGACACTCGTGTCAAATGATCGCGTCTCTTATATAATTACTGATAATAATGTATTTTTTGTGCAAACTCAACTAAAAATGTAGTAGTTCGAAAATTCCCATGATTATAAAAAATATTTCTCATCTACATATTTTATTTATTGTTTTACACTCTGAGACTAGTACCCATGGATTGAGTTCATTTATATGTAGCAGGTCCGGAAATGTTTATATTAATCTACGATGCCCGAGATACATCTATGGCGTAGAGAAATAAATGATATACGTGCAGGGGAGGATTTTTACTCTTACATATTATATTATTATTGATATAGGAATGCAAAAATCACTATCTATGTATAGCATTTTAAGCATATTCACGTTGTTCACTTGTTCATCTTCACCTTTTCTTTTTCGGTTTCCTTGTTTTGGGTAAAACCCATTCCTATTATAGCCTCTCTTGATTTTGAAGTTGGAACATTCTCACTAGAATCGCACGTAATCTTCAATCTTACAATGAGCTGTCGTTGCATTAAGTTCCTCTACCTCCATAATAAATCTGTTCAACACAAAAATAAGCAATAGAATTCAGCCACGTACGTTAATTACACGCCACGTGGCGTAATTACAAACGTGATGTTACGGTAGAATTCGTTCGAAGACGATCCCCAAATGCAACCCTATAAAAATAAAAAATAAAAAATAAATAAAAAAAATGCAACCTTATAAAAGACCTCCCCAAACAAAGAAGCACAGCTGATAACCTGACCCGAGTCAACCGGCATCCTTCCGGTTCTCTCTAGGTACCAGGTCACCTACGCCATGCACGGCGGCGATAACGACGACAACAACAATCAGCTCCACCTTCGCGGCAGCAACGGAGACACCTTGGACCTCCGAAACCTCAAGGTGATCTCCGCCGTGGGACGCGGCGCCAAGGGCGTGGTGTTCCTGGCGAGAACCTACGACGCGTCGAACGGGAAATGGCTGGCCCTGAAGGTGATATCCAAAGACCTACTTCAGAAGAAGAATAACGGCGAGTGCAAGAGGGTCTCGTTCGAACAGCATATACTACGTCGTTTCGATCACCCGCTCTTGCCGCGGTTGCGAGGGGTTTTCGAGACCGAGAAACTCATTGGGTTCGCCATCGATTATTGCCATGGTGGGAATCTGCATTCCCTCCGGAAGAGGCAATCTGAGAAGATGTTCTCTGAAGAAGCTATAAGGTAACCCTTTTTCTCTCTTTCCGAGAAAATGTGGGAAAATCAATTTTTTTTTTTGTCATTTTTGGGTTTTTGTATGAGTTCTCCATAAAGAACACGATTCTGGAAAATGGGCAAGGCTTAAAATTCAGATTAAGCTTTCAAGAATGATTTTTTTTGAAATTTTCTTTCCTTTTAGCAACACGTGTGGAAAATTGAAAACAAAAAGGAAGAATCTTTCTTCGCTTTTTGTCGTTTAGTTCTTTTTGTATATTACTTTTTGAATAACGAACATGATTTGAGAAATGGGTCGGGCTTAGAATTTTGGTTATTCTTTTAAAAAGGTAAAATTTTCCTTCATTTTCTCATCAACCAAGCATGCATTTTTGGATTGATTTGATTCGATTTTCTTTTTATTTATGAAGGTTTTACGCTGTGGAATTGGTGCTGGCATTGGAGTACTTGCACAATTTTGGAGTGGTTTACAGGGATTTGAAGCCGGAGAACATCATGATTCAAGAAACGGGTCACATAATGCTCGTGGATTTCGACCTTTCCAAGAAGCTGAACCCAAAGTCACCGAACTCGCTGAGTTGCAACTCGTCCCCGGGTTCTGACTCGGTAGCGGAGAAGGACCGGAATAAGCGACGGTTCTCGCGGTTCTACTGTTACTGTCAGTCGGGGATATCGCCGAACGACTCGGAGAGTCAAGTTGACACCAACTCGGCGCGTAGGAGCGAGTCGGACTCGGTGGAGAAGTCCAACTCGTTCGTCGGAACGGAGGATTACGTGGCACCAGAGGTTATTTTGGGCGAGGGACACAACTTCGGGGTTGATTGGTGGTCATTCGGCGTCGTTTTATATGAGATGCTCTACGGGACGACGCCGTTCAAGGGAGCAAATAGGAAAGAGACGTTTTGCCGGATTTTAACCAGGGAACCTGATCTGACGGGCAAAACGACGCCGTTGAGGGACCTGATTAAGAAGTTGCTTGTGAAAGATCCTGACCGTAGGATCGAGGTTGAAGAAATCAAGAGGCACGATTTCTTTAGAGGTGCGAATTGGGACACGGTTTTGCAAATTACGCGTCCACCGTATATTCCTCAGAATGACGTTGAGGACAAAGTGGGGTTTTCCAGAAAAGATGTAGAGTGCTTTGTCCATAAAATATTTTTCCCAGACAACAATGGCACGGAAGAGAAAAGTAATGAGCTGGGGAAAAAAGATGGGAATGAGAAAAGTGACAATAATAATAAGAATGCGTGGGTTGACAAGGTGAATCAGAATTCCACTACGAACGAAAACTTTTTAATTTTTTAATTTTTTAATTTTTTGATTTTAATGTATTTTTTATTTTTAAAGTTTTATTGTCTGTCCTACATGTGAATCTTTTATCTTGACAATTAAAACTTTGTTGTCTGCTATACAATTTTTTCATTATTATTTTTATATTATATATTGGGTGATCAATTATTTGATTAGTCTAATTTGATTTGAATAGTACCACCTGAGCGGTTAACACAATTGTTAGACTCAAACTTAAGATTATTGACTAAACTGGAATAACCTCTTATCTATTATTCCATGTATTTGGTGGTCTCCATTCATTTTTATTCCTTAATGAAGTTTTCCCGACACAAAAATATATTAAATAGTATTAATCCTAGTAAAATTCTTTTACATTTCACAAAGAAATCTTTATTAAAATTCAACTCAACTCTTTTTACTAGATAAGTTATTTTTTTTCAATTTCAAAAATATTGCTGGCAACCTTTTAATATTTGTTGATCAAACCATTTTTGTATAATAAAATAGGGTTTTATAAGAGTTATGTTGTAGGAAAAGTGATTGTGTAATGTTATAGAGATTCGTTTTGCGTGCCTTAATTTTTTATTTATTTTTTTGTTTTAAAAAGTGTGGGGCCCACAAAATATTGTGAGTGTAGGAAAGTTTGTTGTGTTATGTTAAAGGATAAAATGAAAACCCTATAAAATAAGGGTTTAAGTTTTCTTATGTTGTAGGATTGTAGGAGAGAAAAAAAGTAGAGAGAAGTTAAATGTGGGTCCCATATTTTATATTAAAAAAGAAAGAAAAATTAATTGGCACGGAAAACGAATTTGTGTAGGAAAATAATGTAATCTCATGTGGCATGAGAGTATTATTTCTCATAAAATAAAGTCTTCATTTTAGTAGCATGCAACCCATGACTAAAGACTAGTGTTTTAATACTCGGACCGGTCATCGAACTGGTCGAGGTACTGGGTCACTGGTTCAACCGGGTTCAACCGGTTTTACTGTTCACATATTAAAAATATAAAAATATTACTTATATTAATAAAAATTCACATAAGAAAACTATCTATGAGCTTCAAAAAATAAATTAATTTTCAATGATAACAAATATTATATACATCTAAGCTTCTAGCTCTAGACCGTTGAGATGAGATCATGAGACCATCAGTGTTTATCACCACTTAACTTCATGAGATCATTATAAGATGCAACTAAATTACATAAACGAACTACACTAATCTAAAATACCTTATTATTTTCACCTTACTCTTAATCATATTCATCATAAAATATGAATATGATTTAATTTAAGAGTTCTTATCAACAAAAAAAAATTTACCAAAAAAAAGGAAAAATCGGTTTAACCCGAGTCAACCGGGTCGCCGGGTTTCAGCCGGGTCTACCGGTCCAATCCGGGCTGACTGCATAACCGGTCTAACTACCCGCTCGGACCGGGGAACCCACCGGGTCACCGAGTCCCGGGTCAACCCGGCCGGTCCGAGCCGGGTTTTAAAACACTGCTAAAGACTCTCGTAAAAAGAAACAAAATATAAAGCATACTACTAATTGCAAGAAAAGACATGCAAAAAATTTGATTTGCTATGAAGGTTACATCAATGTATTATTAGAACCGGACCGGTCATTGACCCGGCCAAGGTACCAGATCACTGGGTCAATGGTTTAACCGATGGGTCACTGGTTGAACCGCATGAACCGGATATATATATAATTTATATTTTATACTTAATTATATAATAAATATTTTAAATGGTGTCATCTAAACAATAACCTGATGTAGTTTAGTGGTATTTGTTATGTTGTATAACCTCAATGGAAGGGGTTTCAACCCCATTAGATGCAATTTTTGAAATAATTCTCTTAACTTAATAGTTATATAATAAATATATTAAATGGTGTATTTTATTCAACCAGTGATGGTGGCCTAGTGGTATGAAATGTCGCTCCTCACTCCAGTGTGCTGGGTTTGAATCCCACCTGGTGCAAAAAATATTTATATTTTGTGACTAATTTCAAAGAACTGGTTTAAATAGAAAATCGGTCGGTACCGGTTTATCGGTTCAACCGCGGTTTATCACCGGGTCACTGGGTCAATACCGGGTTGAATACTTAAGCGGTCCAATGTTTGTAACCAAACCAGTTGATGGGCCGATTTCCGGGCCAACCGGTCGGATCGGCCGGGCCGGTCCGATTTTAATAACACTGGTGCTAGTCTTACTCGAGATCTTTATCACCGGGTCACTGGGTCAATACCGGGTTGAATACTTAAGCGATCCAATGTTTGTAACCAAACCGGTTGATGGGCCGATTTTCGAGCCAACCGGTCGGATCGGCCGATCTGGTTTTAATAGCACTGGTGCTAGTCTTACTCGAGATCACCAAACCGGTTGATGGGCCGATTTTCAGGCCAACCGGTCAGATCGGCCGGTCCGATTTTAATAGCACTGGTGCTAGTCTTACTCGAGATCACCAATGCCCATTATCGATAACTCTAGACTAGGAATATATTAGCGATGGACGTGTGGTGTCATTGTGTTCCATTCCAAAGGCTTTATCCAGTTACTCATATTCAATATTTAAGACATGCAATATGAAACAAGATAAAGAACGTTTTTATTCATAAAATTTATTCATAATAATAAAGAAGTACATGGGTCCATCTAACTTTCAAATTGTCTCTAGGACACCTATGTACTAAATACCAGCAAGTACAAGAAGAAGCAAACCAATCGATCCACCTTTTCCACAAAGGTTGAAAAAGCAGCATGAAGATAAGCAGTTTGGGAAGTTCTTAGGTTTGCTGAAACAACTCTATATAAATATACCTCTTGTTGAAGCACTGGAACTGTGCCTTCCACAAAGGTTGAAAAAGCAAGATGAAGATAAGCAGTTTGGGAAGTTCTTAGGTTTGCTGAAACAACTCTATATAAACATACCTCTTGTTGAAGCATAGGAACAGATGCCCTCCTATATGAAATTCATGAGGGGCATTTTGTTTTAGAAAAGGAAGATTGAAGAGTTTGACTGTAGCACTAACTAAAGAATCATGCAAGTACTTAACTAAAATCCCACCAAAGTTGAAAGAGCTAGGGATTTTCACACTTCCTTTCACTATTGGGAAGACATACCAAGGAAGAGCACTTTGTGACTTAGGTTTGAGTGTGAACTTAATGCCAACTTCCATCTTTAAGCAACAAGCAAGACCAACCACAATTACTCTCCAACTTGCTGATCGGTCTATTGCTAAACCGGAAGGTAAAATTGAGGATGTTCTTGTCCAAGTATAGAAGTTCATACTCCCAACTGACTTCCTTATACTGGATTTTGAAGTTGATCAAGAAGTTCCTATAATTCTGGGTAGACCATTTCTTGCCACGGGAGATGAAGTGATTAATGTGAAAAAAGGAGAGCTCTCTATGAGTGTTAATTGAGAAGAGGTGAAATTCAATGTTATGAGAGCAATGAAGTTCAGTGATGAAAACACTAATTAGGGATGTGCAAAATATCCAACTGAACCAAACCAAACCAAAAACCAAATCAAATCAAATTAAAAAACCGGTTTTTTTTAAAACCGGTTAAAAAATATATCCACTTTTTAATTTTAAATATGGTTTGGTTATCCATTTATCAAATGATTTGGACACACTGGATAACCAAATTATATCCATTTGGAATATGTTGTAGCTATATATCCATTTTAAAACCCGAAGACTTGTCTTTCCTTAATGGTTTATGTTAGGATCGATCGTGTGTTGTGTAATGTAATGTATCCCCTCCCCTTCCAACTGCTGACATTTTTTTCTTGTTCCTCGTCCTCTCTCTTTCTCTACTTCGGACTCCTTCACTGGGACCCTTCCTCTCTTTTTACCTTTTTACTGCCCCTACATTTTTTTGCTATAACTCTCTGAATTCAATTTCGTGTAGTTTTTTTTTTATTAATTAATATTTTACATGACAAAAGTATACACGTGTATAATTTTGTCATGTATATTGTCTGTCTTTTTTTAATGTGTGTTTGAGAAAATAATTATTTTAAAAGAAATTTTTATAAATATATGAATTTAATATTTTTTTATGTTGTAAGAGATAAATTTAAAAAAATATTGTTATAAAACCGGTTTTAATCTTGATAACCGGTTTGTGGTTCATAATCGGTTTTGATTTAAAATCGATTTTGATTTAAAACCGATTTTGAATATAAACCGGTTTAAAACCGGTGTTAAATCAAAACCGATTATGAACCACAAACCGATTTTGAAACCGATTTTAAACCAGTTTGGACAAATTAAAAATCGATTTTTTTAAAAAAAATGGTTCGGTTTAAAATCCAAACCGTTTAAAATTGGTTTGGTTTGGTTTTTGACAATAACCGAACCGAATCGCTCCATGCACATCCCTAACACTAACTGGCTATTTATTATACTTGACTGTTGGTAAACAGGATATTATGTTTTGTGTTTGCTTATGTGCTACATAATACATATCAATCTTGTTCTAGGAAGTCTCATTTGAATACGGTTAAAATGATTATGAGATAGTATGTACTATACATATTAGTTTGTCGTATCCCTAAAGATTCCCACCTATGGTACTTGTCACTTGTTCGTAAATGTTTTAATCTCTTGGCATAGCAAAAAACACGCAAGTGTTGCTTTGTCAACTATCGAAGCGGAATATATAACTGCCAGAAGTTGTGCTGCTCAAGCCTTTGTAGATAAAGCAACAAGATGAGTCTATCATGAACTTTTACTCTACCATCGCAAAGAGGTCCCTTGTAAAAGAAGAGGAAAGAAAGATGATTGAGAGAATAACGATGGAGAAGAGACCAAAAGTACAGATTTTAGGATACAAGGGGCAAATCCAAATCCAAATCCAAATTTTACATGGAGTAAAACTCAAATCTCGTATAATTACGTTAATGATAAGAACACATGACACGAGTAAATTGACAATCCATTTAACATGTTATCACTTAACATATTAAGAAATGAGAAAGACCATAAGTGCTCCGTTTTAAAAAATTAAGGAATACAAATCTAAACTCAAACTTTATGATGACGAAACAAAAGCCACTTGAGCCTTAAGAATATTGTTTCCAACTATATGATTGTTGATTATAATGCTAATGAATCATGGTCATTAAATAATAACAGTAATATTGGAAATTGTGTTTAAGTTTAACTTGTGCAAATTGAGGGTAAAAATAAAAATTGTGAACATAACCACCATTGACTCTACATCACAATCCAAACAGATCAACAGCTTAACTAGTCTTATAACAAAATGATGATGGTAAGATGCATAGAGAGTGACACAAGGCTATATACCTGTAAAAAATCTTGGGATACACTACCCCAAAAGCTAGCTCAAAGAGTGGGAGTGCCCAATGCTTTATAAACTTCACATTAGTTACATACAACCAATGTGGGATTATATATCTCAACACGCTCCCTCACACGAGAGCCCACTGGGCTTGAAGAGTGGACAATGTACAGGCCCACCTACCTGTGCGAACAAAGAAATTCCACTTCAAAGAAAGTGAGGGGCAGCGAGGATCGAACGGCTCTGATACCATGTAAAGAACCTTGGGATACACCACCTCAAAAGCTAGCTTAAAGGGTGGGAGTGTCCAAGGCCTTATAAACTCCACATTAATTACACATACAACCAATGTGGGACTATATATCTCAACAATACCTACCACACGGTCACGCTACAAACTCACCCTTTTACAAGGTATAAGCATAAATCAGGAAAACAGTGCATCCACTTCATGCAGCTTTCGATGCATAAAGTATTTTACGTTTCATCTGATAGCAAGAACCGGGGAAGAGAGTATAAGATGACTATTAATATGAATGTGTCAAACAAATTGTACCTCTAAAAGCTCTAGATCCAAACACTGTAATCCAAAAACACAATCACTCGGAAAAGGATTTTCTGCAAAGTCCATGCCATAACTGATAAAAGCAAAATAATATGATATAGTAACACCAATCACTCGTCCTCTTGGCTGCGCAACCTGGCCAGTTTGTTAGTAACAACCACATCCAACTGTGATGCGCGTTCTACAATCTCCTTTCTTTTCCTGGTTGACACATTGTGTGCTATCTCAGCACAGTATGTCCTGATATTTCATCATGTAAATACCAAAGTCAGGAACAGGACGTAATCACAAAGGGAAATTGAGAATCATCATGCAAACTAAAACCAGTTACCACCTTACCTGTTATGCATCATCAGAAGTTCCAGATCCTTGACATTGTGGACAACAAACTTCTTGAATCCATTAGGAAGATAATGTCGGGTCTTCTTGTCCGAACCATAACCAATGTTTGGCATTAAAGCACATCCTTTGAACTTTCTCCTTACACGTGAATCAATACCCTTTGGCCTTCGCCAACTGGGCTGCATGCCACAATAAAAGAAATATGGTATACATACTATAAAAATCTGTGGAATCAATGATTCTCAAAACATTCAACCAATATATACATAGAGCAGCTACCATGAAAGTCATAATAGATGTAATAGGTCTCAGTAGGAACATCAAAGAGAAGATGTTGCTTTGTCTTCAAAAAAGCAATAGAAAACTGATGCATGAAAAAAATTGCCACTCCCCATGTTCAATATATAGCACTGACAAACAGGGAAATGACACATAAAATTGCCAACAGTCACAGTAACCCTTACCAGTGTTATCTGACATGGTCAAGCCCATTTTGATTAGTTCATCAGTGACTAAATATTGAAAGTTGTAAATATATTAAGTCGAAAATGAAACACAGATCACATTATGGAATCTGGATATTACATTGTGCTGGTGGAAAAACGAAATAAAGGAGGATAACAAATCAGAAGCGACTCAGCTTATGCTAAAAGACTTCAAGATTCAATCCCCGGGTATTTAATCATTTGAGAAAAAACATACCCAATAATTCGCAGATACACAAATAAAGACAAAAAGAGAGAATATTAATTTATGAGCAACTAATATTTTCGTGCATACCTTGACAGAAATTTTCCGGTCACTCTGGGGCCTCTTGAATTTCTTGACACGCTTCTTCACAATTCTCTTGCTTAGCAAGGGAACAGCCATCTTGTCTCTAACAAATTCAAATTAAAAGCTTATATTTAACATCATCATCGATTATATAAAACAAAGGAAGACTTGGAAGAAAACTAATTATTGTCCTTAGCATTTAAGGGGAAAAAATACCAATAAAAGAATGATAACTTAACTCCTTGCCAGTTGCCACACAACGCACAAGATATCGGCAAAGCTAAAGCTAGAATAAAGTTGAAAATCAGCAATTAAATAAATTAAATTATTCAAATTTCATTTTTGGCTATACCACACAGCCTTTATCCTAGTTTTGGATACAAATCGACCAAAGAAAAAGACCATAACATTAAACAAGCTCCATCTCCAAAATCCATGTCGGATTGTACGCTAATAATTACTTCAATTTCAACCAATGTCAGTATTTGTCCAACACAGAAGGTAAGTATGGCACAAATCAAATCTTTGGGTCTATAATTTTAGTTCAAAATTCAACATTTTCTGCAACAAGCATTCCCTATAATATACTCATATACACAAATTATCATATATTTTGGTTTCTTTGTAAACCAGTAGAGACAGAGAGAATTAAAAATAAAATAAAACAAAAATAACTTCACACAGCAGCATCACATAAAGCAAAATTATAATACGACATAATCAACCTAGGATAATAATCATTATTATAATAACAATAATAACCCTTCACATACAATTACAAATCTAGAGAGAGAGAGACAAGGGTGTTCCACACCTGCTTGTAACGGTGCTCCTGTTAGAACTTCGGATGAGCCCAACAGAGGAGAACTCGAGAGTAGGGTTTTAAAGAGCTACATATATAAACGGGTAATTATTGGATGTTCTTGGATCCACCATGAAATACGGTGCAATCCCTTATGATACCGAAACAAAACGAACCGTGTCCATTGGTTGGCCCAGCTTTATGGGCCACATTCTGCTTTGATTCTAAGGAGAAGCTAAAACTGAATGAATGTTAGGGCCATTGACTGTTTGGACTTTGGGACACTTTTCCTTCCCATTTTAGCCTCACAAACACAAAGCTACGTTAAAAGGCAAAATGCCCCGTTTTAATAATTTATTCTAAACCCCTAAGGTAGCTCAGTTGCAACTCAGTTTTCAAGGATTTGCTTGAGTCAGGGGTTTAAACTCTGTCTCAAGCAAATTCTTGAAAAAAATTTGAGGGCCAGAGGACGTGTCTCTGTCTTCGAAGAGGGGATTAGTCTCATCCTTCCTTCGATAGCGAAGCTCAATATACCCGCTGTTCTAATGAGGAGCTAGCTTTCGGGCCATACTCCGATGACAAGGTGACTGAAGGAGGTTAAATGGAGATACCCTCCATCCTCCAGGTTATACCAAAAAATAATAATAATAATAATTTATTCTAAAGTATAAAATGAATAAAATTTCAGAATGAAAATTAAATGTATACAAAATTTAAATTAAAAAAGAAGTATGATATTATTTTAATCCTAGGAATAAAATTAATTATTAAATCAATGATTGACTTTTATTTTTAAAAATTTAATCATTTTTCCTTAGTTGGAGATCAACCCCAATAAGTCAGCAGGATTGAATATCAACATGTAATTTGATTTGATTTTATTTTTTGAAATTGAGGCAAAGCCTAAACAAGAAAAAAATTACAAACTCGTCATCCTATTAAACAAAGTGCAAAAGCAATCAGAAAACATTGAATAAAGAGACAAAACCAGGAAGAGTGTCAAAGTATTTGATGTCAATTAAGCTTTAGGGTCACGATAATCTTATAGACCAATTAAGCTTGATGTCAATTAAACATTGAATATCAACATGTAATTTTATTTTATTTTTTATTGAGAATTCCAGCGCCATAATTTAAGGGGACGTTTGGTAGCGGAGAAATTTGTTTTTATCCGGAAATCACAATTACCAGAAATGTGATAGAAAAATAAGATTTCGGGAATGTTACCAAAAAGTTGTTTGGTATGCCAAAATTTTACTAGGAATATTGGGTGAAATGAAGTCTATGTTTGGTTGATTATAAAATATTACTGAAAATTTGGTGTGATATTATAAATATATACCTACTTTGGTATTTTCTTCAACCACTTTGGTAAGGTTAGTTTTGTCACATTTTTCAAAGATGCAATGTCTTGTCACCTTTTTCTTCAACCACTTTTCCAGCGATCCAACAATACCACCTTCTGGGTGGTATTCTAAACAACAATTTTTATTCAAGTTTTACACATAAAATAGATTACTAGCTATCTCACTTTACTGGGTAAATTTTTGGAAAAACAATATCAAACATGTTCATCTTAAAAACTCACCCTCACTTTCCTATGTATCCAAAAAAACTCCCTACCAAATACCCCCTAAGAACCTTATAGCACTCAAGGAACCAGACTCGAGAATAAAGTGTCTAATCCCATGACATTGGGCTTAATGTTATGGGTGGAAGGAAATCCAATAAAGTGGCTGGTGCCCCTAATTGGGTCGTAAATTATGAAACGTTGTAGTAGGCCCACGTACTTGGTGCATAAGTGTGAGTTAGTTACTCTATAAAAATTCTGGTGTAGGGTGGGGTTTATTGTAATATTGTAGTAGGGTTTAGGGGTTGTTACGTTCTTGTATTTGTTGAGAGGTGGTTAATTGTATATAACTCTCTGGTGTTAGGTCGTATAATGCATGCAAATGAATAACATAATCTGTTCTTCCTTTTCCTTCATCTTATCCAATAGAGCTTACCTCTATAATTGGTTCTTTCATTAATTTTTCTACAAAATTCTCAAGCCATACAAAATACCGCACAATTCAACTTCCATGTCCCTAAATTATAGAAATAAGCCAAGATAAAAGATCCACAGTGATCTTATAAAATCTTGCACAAGACGCCACCTAGGAGGGTTGGCACCCCAAAATATCTGCCCAAATCACCAGTCCTTTAGTTTCACTTGTTTCCATCTCTTTGCATGATGAATGTTGCATAAAGACAAAATCTAGGTTTTCTCATTATTCACTATAAAAGACAATTATCATTTGCTTAGAAAAGGTTAGAAAAACATGCCCATCTTCCATGAGCTTTAATTATTCACCTACAAAAGCCAATATCAACCTCAACAATTTTCTTTCGGTATAAATAATTGCAAGATTTATTAGGTAGGAGAGGAGCTCCATGGACAAGACAAAAAGATAGAGGATAATAATGTAATCTTGTTGCATTTCCCTAAAAGGGGAGAAAGCTTCTAATGCCCAGTGCTTTAAAACCCCGCCCCACCCGTGGTCAACCCTGCCGGGTCACTCACCCCTTCTCTTTAAGGGTTCGGGTTAGTAGTTAGACTCTAATATACACAAAAATTATAGACTCTATTCCCAGGTCAGAGGGGTTAAAGGGGTCACTGCATTTAAAAAAAAAATGATACACGAAACGACGTCGTTCGATGTGTAAAAAAAACCAAAAAACAAGATAAAACAAAATCTCGTTGTTGCCTAGCTTTTGAATTAGATCTAAAATCTGAATCCTTCTTCTTCTTCTCTTCTGATCTTCTCTCCCAGACCTAGAACCAGTCTCCTTGATCCGGTGATCTCTTCCACCGTGCTAGTTCTTCTTTTCCCACCGTTAATTTGTCATGCCATCTTGTAACACCCCGTATATATCCGGTAATGTTATTATACTATCGTATTAAGCTGCGCTTAATTAAAAATGTGGAATATCTTTTTCTTTTCAATTATGAAGTCATTATCATTACCAACTTGCTTATTAATCAATTAATAAAACATCGCCTGTATGCAATTGCAATAAAACAGCTAACTGAAATACCTCAATAATTAATACAACAATAAAGTATGGCTCTATTCACGGAACTACAACACGTAGACCGAACCAACTATCAGTTTATACAACTCAACTAAAAAGTACTAACCACATAGTGGCATGGAGAACTCCCATGCTCACCCAAATAAGGCAACAAGGCCCAACATAGTCTCAACTCAACAACAACATAATAATAATGCGAAAAACATAAACAGCATCCAGCCCAGTCATGCTAGCAAATAAACAGTAAAATCATCAACTAAGCTCTGGCCTCCTGCCGCCAGAGGCATCAGTCACCATACTACCTGAACCTGAAATAAGCATTCCCCAAACGTGGGGTGAGATCTCTAAACAAGAAATCTCAGTAAGGCAAGGGGTCCTCAAGGATCTTCCACCCCAAGCTCACTTATATGTGCAATATAAGTTTAAAAGCAGTTCATCAATATCATTTCTTAAACAGTGTAATGCAGCAGATAATCATGTCATGTGTGTCAATTCTATTATACTGGCCAGAGAAATGCAGGAATAAATATACGTCTATTACCCACAATTAGTGCAAGACGCCACTTGTATTCACCCCAGATCACCATATCGTATGACGCCACATAATCAAGCTTACCGTCAAGATGAAACGAAACATGCATATTAAAAGCCATTACACATAAAGCTCAACAGCATTTCAAATATTCAAAGCATGTAACACAGCATGCATATAACCATACCCCCATGGGACATGGTGGAACCACAACATGGCTAAACCGAGGACACGAAAGCTTACCTTGCAAGCTAACACCCAAAGCCAAGAGTCCACAGCTCAAAGTCCAAACACAGTAGATTCACAATCTGTTATGGACCAACAATACATCAACAATCATACTCTACAAGTATACAACATAAAGACAACGCCTTTTCATTACGTTTTACGTCTTAAGGCTTCTCACCAAGCCATAGGCCCTTAATCACATGATTCTGACTTACATTAATTAATTACAGAAGTTCAACTTCCTCAAACTAGGGTCCACAAACCCATAGATCAGTTCTGGATGAACAGTACGCTACTATTCCTCGCAAACCCAGAATATCCAGATATTCCTCGGGGACATATCCGGATATCACTCTGGCAATATCCCGATATCAATATCCGGATATCAATATCCGGATATCTATATCCGGTTATCAATATTCGGATATTCCACGTCAAATATCTGGATATTTCGCGACAGAATGCAGTTTCTGCATTTCGCGAAGATATCCCTTCAAGGTTCCATTTTTAACACATTCAAACGTTAAAGCATGCATCTTTATACTGTTTTAGGGTCATATCACTGTTGGTTACTTGTTTAACTCATTAAACATGAAAAGACACCTCTTTTACTCAACAAAACACATGATCAAGGTTGGTACAATTCACCAAAGTCTAAAACAGAGGCAAAGGGTTGCCCGTGGAGCTCACAACCAGCTCCCAAACTCTGACCTCAAGGGTGCACGAAAATACCACCAAAGCAAGGATCTTTCTTCACAAAGATTGCTCCTTGGAGCTCCAACAACCCAAGCAAGAATCTCACACACTCACACAAGGCAAGTCAGACCCCAAAACAGCCTCCACACAACCACCACACTCAGGGAAAGTGCTCCTTTCACACTCACAATGATCTCTCCCACTCACCCAAGGTACAAAGTGAAGAGAAAATGAAGAAAAGAGATCACAAGGCTCACAAAATGGTGGTGAAGCAATGGAACAGTGGAACCAGCAGCTGACCAGCCCCACACTCACGTAGAGAATCTGTTTCCTAGGGTTTTGTTCCATCACAAGGGTATTTATAGCCCACTTAAGCCTCAAACACACTGTATTAACTTTAATTGCTACGCTTAGCATTTTAATCTCAAACTTTGGATTCTTAACCTACCCAATTTTACAAGAATTATCATATTTTTATAATAATTTTCCGAGCACCTTTCCGGTACACGCTTTTCATAGCCAGTACCAGTTTCTGTCACCAGTTCTCATTATATTGACTTGAAACTCGTTTTCCAAGTCCTACATATTATTCTAGTAATTATCATGCACTTATTATAATTTTTCGGTACACAT